GATCCATGGATCTAGTGATCAACTGATCCACTGATCCATTGATGTAGCGCTTTACCAATCCATCGATCTGCAGAGCCACCTTTTTAGGGATCCACCAGTACACCCACCTAGCGATCTTCCGATCCAACGATCTACAGATCCACGGATTTAGCGATCTACCAATACATCGATCTGGCGATCTACCGATCCATCAGTCTACAGATCCACTGATCTACCGATCCACCGATCCACAGATCAACCAATCTACAGGTCCACCGATCTACCGATCCAGTGTTCCAGTGATCTACCAATCCATCGATCTACAGAGCCACAGATCTTGCAATCTACTGATCCAACGATCTACAGATCCACCGATTTAGCGATCTACCTATACATCGATCTGGCAATCAACCGGTCCATCAATCTACAGATCGAACGATCAAGCGATCTACCAATCCATGGATCTAGTGATCCACTGATCCACTGATCTAGCACTTTACCAATCTACAGGTCCACCGATCTACCGATCCAGTGTTCCAGTGATCTACCGATCCATGGATCTACAGATCGAACGATCTAGCGATCTACCGATCCATGGATCTAGTGATCTACTGATTCACTGATCTAGCGCTTTACCGATCCATCGATCTGCGGAGCCACCTTTTTTGGGATCCATCAGTACACCCACCTTGCGATCTACCGATCCACCGATCTACAGATCCAGCGTTATACTGATCCACCTATTCCTCCGATCTAGCGATCCACCGATCCAGCGATCTACCGATCCATCGATCTACAGAGCCAAAGATCTTGCAATCTACTGATCCAACGATCTACAGATCCACCGATTTAGCGATCTACTTATACATCGATTCTCCGATCTAGCAATCCACCGATCCATCGATCTAGCTAGCGATCTACCGATCCAACGATCTACAGATCCACCCATTTAGCGATCTACTGATACATCGATCTAGCGATCCACCGATCCAGCGATCTACCGATCCATCGGCCTACAAAGCCACAGATCTTGCAATCTACCGATCCAACGATCTACAGATCCACCGATTTACAGATCCACCAATCTACAGGTCCACCGATCTACCGATCCAGTGTTCCAGTGATCTACTGATCCATCGATCTACAGATCGAACGATCAAGCGCTCTACCGATCCATGGATCTAGTGATCCACTGATCCACTGATCTAGCGCTTTACCGATCCATCGATCCATCTTTTTAGGGATCCACCAGTACACCCACCTAGCGATCTTCCGATCCACCGATCTACAGATCCAGCGTTATACTGATCCACCGATCCTCTGATCTAGCGATCCACCGATCCATCGATCTAGCGATCTACGGATCCACTGATCTACCGGTCCACCGATCTACAGATCCATCAGTCTACAGGTCCACCGATCTACCGATCCAGTGATCTAGTGAACTACCGATCCATCGATCTACAGATCGAAGGATCTAGCGATCTACCGATCCACGGATCTAGTGATCTACTGATTCACTGATATAGTGCTTTAGTACACCCACCTAGCGATCTACCGATCCACCGATCCTCCGATCTAGCGATCCACCGATCCAACGATCTACAGATCCATCGACTTAGCGATTTACCAATACATCAACTTGGCGATCTACCGATCCATCAGTCTACAGATCCACTGATCTACCCATCCACCGATCTACAGATCCACCAATCTACAGGTCCACCGATCTACCGATCCAGTGTTCCAGTGATCTACCGATCCATGGATCTACAGATCGAACGATCTAGCGATCTACCGATCCATGGATCTAGTGATCTACTGATTCATTGATCTAGCGCTTTACCGATCCATCGATCTGCGGAGCCACCTTTTTTGGGATCCATCAGTACACCCACCTTGCGATCTACCGATCCACCGATCTACAGATCCAGCTTTATACTGATCCACCAATCCTCCGATCTAGCGATTCATCGATCCATTGATCTAGTGATCTACCGATCCAACGATCTGCAGATCCACCGATTTAGCGATCTACCGATACATCGATCTAGCGATCCACCGATGTAGGGTCTACAGATCCATCGATGTACAGATACACCGATCTACCGATCCATCGATCTACAGATCCACCGATCCACTGTTCTACCGATTCAGCGATATAGCGATTTACGGTTTCAGCGATCTAGCGATGTACCGATCCATCGATCTAGCGATCTAGCCATCCATCGATCTAGCGAACCACAGATCTAGCAATCCGTCGACCCATTGATCTAGCTATTAATCGATCTACCGATTCTCCTGATCCATCGATCTGCAGGTCCATAGATCTTGGGATCAACCAATCCATCGACCTACCGATCCTTCGATCTACCAATCCACCTGTCCAGCGATCTAGTGATCTACCGATCCATCGATCTAGCGATCTACCCGTCTAGCGTACACCCATCCATCGATCTACAGATGCACCGCTTTACCGATCCATCGATCTACAGATCCATTGATCCACCGATCCAGCGATCTACCAATCCACTGATCTACCGATTCAGCGATCTAGCGATTTACTGTTCCAGCGATCTAGGGATCTACCGATTCATCCATCTAGCGATCCACCGATCTTGCGATCGTCCGGTCGATCGGTCTACAGATCCATCGATCTACTGCTCCACCGATATAGCGAACTACCGATCCATCGATCTACAGATTCACCGATCCACCGATCTAGCGATCCACAGGTTCACATATCTAGCGATCTACCGATCTACCGATCCCCTTATGTATTAGATCCATCGATCTAGCGATCTACCAATCCATCGATCTACAGATCCACCGATCTATGGACTCACCGATTTAGCGATCTACCGATGCATTGATCTAGCGACTTACCGATGCATCGATCTATCGATTCATCTTTGCAGCGATCCAGCGATCTACAGGTCTACCGATTTAGCGATCCACCGATTTTAAGTTAAAATTTGCTTACATGATTATAATTTTTCAAATTTGCGTACAGAATTTTTTTGAAGCCTTCAAAAATGTGTTGTGTTGATGTAGCCCGCAAATGGCAAATTAATTAATCCGCCGAGGCCGATAGCCTAAGATCTACACTCGGCAGTGTTTCCGCTTTAGATCAGACGAAAGCCTAATCCAATAATTGTTTTATTATTCATTCAAAATATTTACAACTTAAAAATATTCATTGATCTATGTAAGTCCCTGTCTTCTGCTTATTTTTTTTTATGTGCTGGGGGTATTTTTGCTATTCTTGCAATGTTTTTGGGCAGCCGTTTAACTATTTCCTCTTCGCATCTTGTGAAATCTTCTGCTATTTTAAAGCCTGTGCCAAAACAGCTGAGCTACCGCGTTCACTGTTGTCCCTTTTACTGTCGATATCTTTACAATTGACGCCAATTGTAATGATATCGGCTTCCAAATTTGGTCAACAGTGGCTTGTTATGAAGAATAATTAGCCGAAGTAAATTTAGCCTATCAGAGACGGAAGAATCTTTTGAATGAGTTACAACTATTCACTCGATGGCAAGCAAATATGATTTTTATGTTCGAATGACAAGAGCAATTTCGCACTTGCTCGCTGCACTCACTCGTGAGATACTTTCCTTGCTTCTAGAGCGCAAAATTCATACCCCGAGCTGACGTGCGACTTTTTTCATTCATTATCAACAGTAAATACACATGGTAGAGATTGAAAAGTTGGGTTTAATTTTACTAATGGCTATTTTAACTACTACAGCAATACCGTACGCGTATACTCAGTGCCCACATTCGGTCGATTGCCAAATTTCAGTTAAACTGGTACGTTGTTTATTAAGAGAACTCCTTTATCGCCTGAGTGACTAAAAACATTGTACGCGGGAAAATTTTCCATACGAACGTGTGAAGGCCACACATCTTTAAGCACGATCAAAGTAAAGTTACAAATTTACCTTTCAGATTTGGTAGTTATGAAAAAACTTTCTGTAGATCTCTCGAATTTAAAGCAAGCCTCGTCAGCTGAGTTTTCTGTTCTATCTTGCCATAACAATAATAATAACAATAAATTTTTTTTCACGTGTAAGGATATTTAGCTTACAAGCTAATCACAGGACACTAATGATGGGCCGCAATATATATCTACAATAATCTCTCTTATTCTATTGTTCATCTCATAGTTAAATAGAGCATAGCTTATTACGGCACAGCTCTCTTGGAAAGCATACCTATTTCTACCTATTTCTTCTCCATTCACATTATCTACAAAGTATCCACTTAATTTTTTTGTGACATTATATTATTTCCAAAATACTTGGTGGGAGCCAAGGAACACCCTATGTTTGATTTCCTCTCCTTTACATCTCCAGCCCCTTCTGTTAAAACTCTTGCCGAGCCCAACCCTGTTCATTTCTGGATCAGTTTCGCAGAGACTCTTTCTTCATTAACGTTTGCAAAGGCGGATTCCAATGGTGACGTCATTGCTCGTTATGACCAGCCATATATAATACATAAGAAAAATTCGGCATCCCAGGTCCCCCAAAATAACGGTAGTATCGATTCCACAAGTGTTTTAGCTCCCCGTAAAACACTTTATTCCATATAATAAGTAATAATGATATTGGACTTTTTCCATTTAACCCAAAATTCCGGAAATTTTGGTTGGTACGGACCATTTCGGTTTGGTCCGAGCGAAATATTAGGGACCAGCTTTGAATGGTCCACTTTGACTGGTCCGGTTATCTCGGTCGGTCGGACCGAAATGTCCCTTTCCATTAGACAAAATTGTTTGTCGCCAGTACCGTTGTATTCTGCTTACAAGAACAATAACCAACCGCGCGGTCTCTTGGGTCGGGTCTTTAGGCAACCGGAATGTACCGCGAAATGAGCACGTGGAATTTCCAAAATTTCAAAGCAGAACTTTTGTTGAATGGAAAGCGCCATTAATAATAATAATAATAATGATAAATGTTTGTAAAATTTAAATAAATAAGTAGTTAAATCATAAATAGATGAATCAGTTCCAGCATAGTTCATTCACAATCTGAATCTTGTTGACTCAGATTATTATATTTACTGTCTGAAGCCCACGACTGCTTTTCTCCTGAGCCAAACACAGTGTAAAATATAGCCCCCAGAAGATACATTACTCCATTGATTATGAAAACTATCTTCCACTCTAAGTCAGTCTGTTGAAAGAAAGCAAAACGAGGCAAGTTGAATTCCTTGGAGTTATTTTTACTAACTAGGGCGATTTTTAATCCCTTCTCGAAAACAAATTGACTCTTAATGCTTGAAAATAAGCGAAAGTTCCAATTCTATTTCTAACAAGTGAAAATATATTTCTTCCCTGGGTGACAGAGATTTTCATGCACGACCCCCTAAGCCTGCCTCCCGCATGCGATTAAAAAAAACCGGGTGTTTCTTGTTGTTGCTTCATTTTTAAAGCCAATTGACTTGGTTCGTATTTATTCAAAAGGATGTTGACTACACAGCATGTTAGCTTCCAATATCAGAGCCCGAATTGAAGCCCACACTCTCCGGTTAGTTGGACAATTTGCTCTATTTCTCTCCCACCCTCCTATCCCTAACACTTTAGGGGCCTTCTTCGCCAGAGCTCGCCAGGATCTGCGTTACAAGGTTTTAGTGCTATTTATGTTGTTTTGTGTTTGAAAAAAATATTGTCATTTGATTATGGGGAAGAGATGCTCATTTGTATTACCTGGCAGTGACGTAGAGGATGGGATGAGTAATGAAGTGGAGAGGGGTCGAAGTAAGGGGGAACCGTCAGCCGTCAAACGGCATAAAATTTAACCGTCAACCGTTAAAAATCCAGATTAATATTAACCGTCAAAAAGTTTTAAGGTAATTCAAATCTCACTATTTCAGCTGATCTTTACTGGGTTCTTGCTCCTGAAGAATCTCTTAACTGAAAACACTCTTTCTAGACTTTCCAAGAACACACAAGTTAAGTTGCTTACATCAAAAAACATATATAGTATTTCAGAATTTTATAAGTGAAAGGCCAAGGCAATCTCCAAATCGACAATCTTAAGTTAACAGTTACCTAAACATTGGGGCTAAATTTCCACTTAATAGCCGTCAACCGTCAAAAGCTCTAAAATTTAACCGTCAACCGTCAAAACTGAAAAAAAAAATTCCCGTCAAAGCTACCACCCCACTGAGATCCTCTGTTTCCGGTCTTGTAGGATGCTTATTTCAGAAATGTACTAGCCTGTGTACACACCCCCCCCCCCCTTCCCTCAGCAAAAATCGGAGAAGGGGCCCCTTCTTCGATTTTTACTGAGGGGAGGGGGTTCTGTACACAGGCTAAAATATACTTACGTGGTGTTTCACAATGAATCCCGTCAAGGTGGGTGAAATAATTCCTCCCAATGTCGATGCAAGATCGCTTATTCCGAAGAGTATACTGGCAAAGGGTGGGGCAATGTCAAGATGATTTACAGCGAATCCACTGATGATCAATCCGTTCAGTCCCATCCCAATAGTGAATAAAGTCACAGCTATCTCAGGTTTGTTGGTAAAATTTGCTACGAGGAAAAAGACAGCTGGCGCAAGAAACCCTATTAAAATAATTTAAAAGGAAGGATCAGTGTTTAGTGACAATCTACTTTTTTTCATAACACTTAATATACTATTAGTTTCTGTTTTTCTTTTGGCTTTGTACAACCACCGATAGTTTCAAAGAGTTTAAAATAACTTTTACAGTTGTTTTGGTTACTCTGTGTAAAGCATGTTATTATTAATTCTTAGTTCAACACGTGTTTCAGCTAGGTTGTTGACAAAGAATAGCAGGAGATCTCCCTCTCTTCAGATATCCAAGACCTTTTTTACAATGACAGGGCGATTACAACGATTTGTATGGAAAACCACTCAAACGCCGTGACTGGGTGGGAAGAGTTGTTTTTCGCACAAAAATCATTCTAATTTTCGACGGCCGTTGCAATCGCTGCTTTTGAGATGTATGGCTGAACATTTACAGGTTACCTAATTCTAATATGCTCTCTCAGCTCGTGCTACAAAAATTGTTCAAAAGCGAACTGTTTTCGTGTTTACCAAAAGTTGATCACGTGATCAAATCATGCAAAGGGCCTATTGGCCAATAGCTGACAGGCGCGTCCGCTGCAACGATCCCAGAAATCATAGCGGGACGCATTTAAGCCCCAATTCATTTCTCGTTTTTAAAGTGGCGAATGGAAAGTTGATGTCTACTTGTTAAATGTATCATTGTCTTTTTAATATATATCTTTAATGAATCATGGCAAAACGAGAGGATTACCTATTGTATTGAACATTTTCCTCACTGTTCCTGTACTGAGATAATGTTTACGAAAGTAGTCCGCCAGTTGAGCTCCAGCTATCATTACAAAGAACGTAACGACGTAAGGTATGGTCGAAGCGACGGAAGTCTGAAGGAAGAAATATTAACAAACAAATAAACAATCGATCAGCTTTAGATGAAAGTAGATACACTTTCAAGCATAAATATAAGTAGGCAATATAGAACAGAGCAGTGTACCTTCCTTACTCATTTTTCTACCCGTCCTCCAATAAAAACTGAGTTAGTATGAAGAGGTATTTTATATTATTAGAGACTGGAAGGCTCTCTACTACATGAAGAAAATCTGTTTTCTTTTCCTGCTAGTATTCATACGAAGGATGTTGCGGGACTAGCTCAGTCGGTAGAGCTCTTGACTGGAGATGGAGAGGCTGAGGAATCGATCCCCGAGACCGAATCGAAACTCAAGTTCTTTAAAAAAAATGAGAAATTAAGACTGACTGCGTTTACTGCAAACGGCTAGACTTTTACGTGGATCGGATGACCACGTAAAATGGCAGTCCTGTCTCCAGTAGGGTACGTAAAAAAACAGTGTCCTCAATTAGTTCTTCTATGCAAAATAATTGACACTCAAACAAAGTGCGTTTTTCTTATGATTTTTTATTACATATTGATTTATTTTCAGTTAACAAAGCGTATCTAATGCTCTTCAGGCATCGATTGAAACGATCCTGGTTTATGGGTTTGAGGCCCCAGACTCTCACTAAAACGAAAAAGACCCCATCGATTAGCCTACTTTTTAAACGTACATTAGAATGTTAGGGATGATACCAATCCGTCTTGCCTTCATATAGGTAGCAGCCCCCCCGCCCGGGAGGGGTGGTACTTTAGGAATTTCTGGGTGGGGATGTGCCGCTGGGACCTTGGAACCCTTAACCTATACCAGAGCTAGTTCAGCTGAATTTTGCTACCCTATGCTAGAGTAAACTCCCCAAATCCCCCTATCCTAGAGTAGCTGTTTACCTAGTCTAGACAAAATCTTCAACCAACTGATCAGTTTCCTAAAAAATGATACCCTATTCTAGACCCAAACGCTCTGATTTATACACCCTATCCTAGAGTAAACTACTTGAAAACCATACCCTTCACAGCGGTACATACCTATATAGCCCATATATGGCAGTACCCCCCCCCCCCCCCATCAGTTTCCTAAAAAATGATACCCTAGTCTAAACCCAAACCCCCTGATTTATACACCCCATTCTCGAGGAAAATCCTTGAAAACCAGACCCCTCCACGCGGTACATACCTATATAGCCCATATATGGCCGGTCCCCCCCCCCCCCCTCCGGGGGCAGCAGGAAGAGACCAGTTTTGTTTTTTTGTTTGGCACGAGGTATCTGAATCCCTTTATTCCAGCCAAAATGTTTGCTCCACGTATAGGTAATAGTATGATCTGCAGTGATATTTTGCATAAATACCACGAGTGATATTTAAAAATTGTTATGCGTAATTTCAGGAGCCGATAGGCGAGTGAAATTTGAGACAATTTTGAAATATCACGAGCGGTATTTATGCCAAATATCACGTACAAATCCTGCTGTTATTTGTTTATACCACTACCCCCAAAAAGGTTCGTAATTTTCACATGTAGGTATTTCAGATTAAGCTGAAATACCACTGCTCTAAGCCAATCAAATTGCAGAAATTTCTCACGTAGAAGTATAAATTCCGTAATCCCAACGAGTTGCTCGGCTAATCCCGACCCCGAACATACAGTCAAGTTTCTTAAAGACCCTTGAAAAGTTTCAAATTTCACTCTTCGTCGAAGACCCATGAGGTAGATTGTCGGATTCCAAAACTTGCACCTACACATCAACAACTGACAGGGGATGATATTTACTTTACAAAAACGCAGCTCACTGGTAAACATCGATTCTTTAAACTAGCATTTCGTGTACCTCTCATGAATAAAGAGAGATTAAGAGTCACGTTTAGGGTAAACAGCAAACATCAGTGAGATTCAAGTTTCGGAATTTCTTACATCAGAAAATAAGCAAATAAAAACTGTCCAGGACAATTCTTATGGATAAAAGTGGCGTGAAACTACTCATTTTTGAGTAAAAGTAATAAACAGAAAACTTGGTCAAGTGGTACATATTCACGTTTGCCCCTTGGCGTAAACGTGAATCTTAATCTCCCTAAAAAATTCCTTCCCTGTCTCACTGGTATAGATCGCTTTCACTGTCACGCATCAAAAAAATAAATTGGAAACCGTCCAGTGGAAGAAGCCAAGAAAATGAAATGTTATAAAAGAATAATATATAAACATTTTGTCCAAGTCTCAGGTCTTTGTGGCCCACAGTTTCTGAGTTATTTGCCGAAACTTTTCATGCACCTTTGTATAGCTTTGTATGGAGACGCCATATTGGTGCACCGTTTTGGTGCACCAATATGGCCGCCGGAAATCAACAAAAACATCTGGAGTTCACTTTTTATATAAAAACTCTTTGTTTTCACTCAAGAACTGGCATACGCGCACATAAACAGATCTTCTAATACTTGAAATGGTTATACTGCTGAAAATGAAGAGGAGAGACTTTTTTTTCAACGAGACAGCATTTCCGCTATTTTGGTGTCACGCACTGTGAAAACTCTGAAGTTCAAATTGCTGTATTTCGAAATGAAACATGCTATGGGACTGGAAACTTGTACAAAGATTAATTGTTTGTAGATCTTCAACCTAGTGTAAATAAGAATTCATAAAACCTCACTATTTTGACTTTACAATTTGATGACGTCACTGTGAAAACCATCTATAGCCGATCCCGAAACACCAATTGGGGAACCACAAAGCCACATACCTCCTTGAGATCCAAATTTAGCCGTTGACTGCTATACAGGGGTAGCTCTGATAGCATGGTATATAGTCCCCATCCATGTGTGAAATGAGCCACCACTATCGCCCAAAAGGGAAGTGAGCTGAAGATTGCCTTCCACGGAATAGAAGTATGCTGTTCATTTAAAAAAAAAAGTCAACAAAACAGCAAAGAGTTTATTTAATCAAACCGAGGATTCTAATATCCGAATAAAATGGGGCTATGCCACAAGTTTGCTATCTTTCTGAAAAAGTAAAAAATATTATATAGGCATTGAAACTTGTCTCCTGTCGTCTGTCGCTACGGATGGCGTCATGTAAGGTTTCGCAAAGTGTCATTAGTAGTACCCGACTGAGATCGAGCTAGGGGCAGTCAGTCGGGTGGGGAGAAAAAGTGCGACTAAAGTTTTCAAACACGGTCTGAAAACGTTCGTCGCACCTTTTCTCCAAGCTCGACTGGCTGCCTCTGGGTCTCCGAAGAAGACTACAATGCTAACACGGCAAGTGTAAACTTTCTAAACAATATATCACCATCGATAACGAGTCCAGACTGAAGGACTATTCAGTGGACCAATAACTACATAATTAATCAAAATAGCACAAAAGTTTCTGTAATGCAATGGCCTAAACAATAAAAGGCTAATTTTGTCATCAGTGTCATCCGTAGTATAAAGTGGTCTTATTACGGGAGTATTGTAATCAGCATATTCCTAAACTCTAGTCTAGTCTTTCTGCCGTTGTTACTTTTATAAGTCAGTAGTACCTTTTCCTGAATGTCCGCAGCTAAGCTCATTTCAATATATTCGACTTCTTCTCGAGTAATCCAACTTTGTTCGGAGGGTGAGTTTCTCACCAGTGCAAGCCAAATCAAGGACCAAATTACAGCGCAAGCGCCTGACAAGAAGATAAAACTTTTAGACCCTCATCCTCCTCTTCTGTGGTACCAATACATGTCATAGGACGTGGTCTTTTTGACATGATTCCACGAGTTTTTGAGAAACTTAGATTGTCTGTCTCATAAGCAAGTCAACATACATTGTATTATGTGATTCAGACATGCGCCTTTATGAGTTCCTTGCTTTCACTTATCAGGGGCACCCAACGAGGCTATAGTTCAAAACCACTTAACATAGCATTGTCGACCGTATTTTAGTATTTAAACGGTAGATATAGGCATATTTTTATCCCCTAAAAACTTTTCATCTGTTCGGATTTCCTAGCTGAAAGTCTAGTGATCCGAAAATTATAGGGATCAAAACTTACCTTTTCGAAAATTTCAGCCAGGAAAAGGCTCCCGAAAATTCTAGATGGCCTTTTTTAGGGTAAATATCCGTTTAAAAAGGGTAATTATACCATTTTGCAGATGTTCGAAAATCCTAGGAGAGGCAAGAAAGGCAGGCAAGCAAGAAATTTTACAACAAATGTTCCGAAAATTCTAGTTCTCAAATCGTCTTCCGAACAGATATTTTCCCGAAAATTGCCGTTGGGTGCCCCTGACTTATTGAAGTACTTTGCGTTAATTCATTCCCGGAACGAACTCTTTCCCCGCTTGACTCACATTCCCCATGCTCCACACTGGACAAGTTTAACTATCATTATATGTTTAACCCTTTAAGCCCTAAGCGTGATCAGCNATTTTTATCCCCTAAAAACTTTTCATCTGTTCGGATTTCCTAGCTGAAAGTCTAGTGATCCGAAAATTATAGGGATCAAAACTTACCTTTTCGAAAATTTCAGCCAGGAAAAGGCTCCCGAAAATTCTAGATGGCCTTTTTTAGGGTAAATATCCGTTTAAAAAGGGTAATTATACCATTTTGCAGATGTTCGAAAATCCTAGGAGAGGCAAGAAAGGCAGGCAAGCAAGAAATTTTACAACAAATGTTCCGAAAATTCTAGTTCTCAAATCGTCTTCCGAACAGATATTTTCCCGAAAATTGCCGTTGGGTGCCCCTGACTTATTGAAGTACTTTGCGTTAATTCATTCCCGGAACGAACTCTTTCCCCGCTTGACTCACATTCCCCATGCTCCACACTGGACAAGTTTAACTATCATTATATGTTTAACCCTTTAAGCCCTAAGCGTGATCAGCATCCAATTTCTCCTTGTAATATCAATGCTTTGTTAAACAGAGTGGACATGAGAATTACGGACATGATCACACAAGATGGATTTGCTTGATATTTTATCAACTTCTCCCCGTTACTTCTGTAGGAAATGAATAGGGGGTTAAAATGAGAATTCAAATTTTGATCTTCGGGTTTAAAGGGTTAAAGCCAGTCCGACGGGGTAGTCGCCCTGTCCAGACAAACTGCTATCACCGACAATACTGAGAACAGATTTCTGATAAACAATTCAAGCAATAAAGAAGCCAAGCAAAGGAGATGTTAAAAACATGTCGATTCAAGAAGAAACATGATTAAAATGGTTATTGGGCCCTCCTTTTAAGTTTAAGGCTGCAAAATGGACACCAAAATCATACCAGCAGAGCCCTTCTTTAGCTTCCACGAATTTGGCGAACTAGAGTTAAGACTGTACATTAATCGAGTAAGATCCTCGTTGAGCATGCGCTGAATGTTGCTTAGATACAGTTTCTTTGCTGAGCATTCGCTGCTTGTTTGCTAGGAAATATTTTCGAACTCATGCCTAATAACAGTTATAACCATCGGTTTATCGATAAATGGATGTTTGAACTCGATAAACTAGTTTGACGCGGAAAGAAAACAAGATTGACCAATCCAGAGGTTAATTCAGGCAGAGCCTCAATCAAGAAGAAAACAGAAGGAGGCTCTGATCGTGGGATGCAAAATGAACAGTAGGTGTTGCCTAGTCCCTGTACGGCGTTTTCCCAGCCCTTCTCGGTCAATACATTTCGTTGACGTATCCGAGGCGAATGCGCGACCACGCGACCCGACACGCATTGGCTGCGCGGAATACTGAGGCCTAGTAAATAGGCTACAGTAGGTACATGTACTGTCGCAATTTGTAATAATCATCGCACTTTGCAATACCTGTCGCAATTTGTAATAAATCCATCGCACTTTGTAATACCAGTCGCAATTTGTAATAAACCGTGTCGCACTTTGTAATAAAAAAGCTGTCGCAATTTGTAATAACAGTCCATCGCACTTTGTAATAAACTAAGCTGTCGCAATTTGTAATAATTCCATTGCACTTTGTAATAATTTTTTGAGAGTGATTCAACTTACTTCGTCAACATTAATATAATGCCAAAATATGCATGGTACTTCATAAACAAAGATGATGACGTCTGCTAGCATATAACATGTCCGTAACATTTTCTTTGGTCAAACATGCATGTCTTCCGCTATAAATTTTTCTGCCTTGATTAATCACGTGACTAACTAGAAACGCTTTTATGAAAGACATGAAACTGCCTGTGACATATCACCAAAAAGATATGAATCACGTTTAAATTCAAAAATATTTAAATAAGAAAGGCAACATTTAACAACAAAAAATTCATGAATAACCTGGCATTCGTCGTCCAAATCCATGTTTGCTTGCCACGTGACACGTGAAGTCTTCGGCGGGGGGGGGGAATAATCCCATATATGGATGGGCTAGAAAGGTAAGTACCGCCTGATAGGGTATGGTTTTTGAGGATCTCGAGCCTTTAATAGGGTATCATTTTTTCCGTTGTTGGCCTTGTGTCTTTGGTTTGATCCTTAGATAAGGTAACTCAAGTAGTAATGGATGGTTTATTCCATCCTTTCCATTTTGTAGAAAAACACTAATCCAGAACACGCTCAGAAGAATTGCAAGGTCTTACGAGTTGTATATACGCAGGCAAGGATAATTTTTTACCATCCCCATGGTATTTGCTTTAGAGGACTCCTTACAGAAAACAATTGTTTTAAGATGGAATGAGTACTCCTTTTGTTCCTATATGAGACCAAATCAAGTGAGAATAATGGACCAAATGCCCAGCCGGCTCAGTGTAAGACCCCAATTGAGTGTTATAAAAACAGGTACATACGAAGGTATTGGCCAGCAACTAATTGGATTTTGTGGTTAGGTTTCTGTTGTGGTTCGAAGGTTTGCCACTGGTGACGTTTTTTTTTTATTTGCAGTAAACATTTTGAATCTTTCCAGGCCTCGTTTGATTAAGTTGGAAGCCACTATTACTTCTTTAAGATTGCTCGTTAGACAAGAACGGTGTACCACGTGTTGTGTCAACCTGTTATAAGATCTAACAAGGAAAGCTTGAACTCTCCTGGTGTCCTTATTCGAATGATGTAGGATGGATGTTACGATTAGCGGAAATTAAATGCTTTTTAATAATGGCTTGTTTGTGTCTAGTGTGTCTAGCTCTGTCTAGATCCTCTACTCTGGCAATGCTCTGTCCAGAGGCACATCCCCGTATTGGCCATATAAGGAAGTACACCCGCCGGGTAACCATTGAATGCAAGCCACCTAGTACAATAGCAAGGTTCAAGAATACAGCATTTCGTAAGTCAGATAACTAATCAACATTAATCTAAAAAAATGTTTAGGACTGTGAATAAAGTTAAATGTTTGAATGAGCGGAGATGTTACGTGCTAGCAGACGTCATCTCCATCTTTGTTTATGAAGTACCATGCATATTTTGGCGTTATATTAATGTTGACGAAGTAAGTTTAATTACTCTCAAAAAGTTATTACAAAGTGCGATGGAATTATTACAAATTGCGACAGCTTAGTTTATTACAAAGTGCGATGGACAGTTGTTACAAATTGCGACAGCTTTTTTATTACAAAGTGCGACACGGTTTATTACAAATTGCGACAGGTATTACAAAGTGCGATGGATTTATTATAAATCGCGAAAGGTATTACGAAGTGCGATGATTATTACAAATTGCGACAGTACAAGTACATGTCATTTAAGTTATACACAAAGGTGAAGTACAAACCAAAAACATAAAATATTGACGGCCATCCATAGTAGATTGCAAGATATCCTGAACAGAACATGGACACAATTATTCCCACGTTTCCTCCTATAAGAGTAAAAATGGAACTGAGTTTAAACTTTTGAACGTGTTTTGATATTATGAGAGATGTGATGATGAATTTTCAGCTAGGTGAAAACATGAGGAAGATGATTTTCAGTCAGTGACAAAAGCGGCTCGGAAGAAAAAATCTGAATGTTTCCTGCAGGAGTCGAACCTATGACCACCTGTTTACTGGTCCAGATAGCTTAGCGGACAGTTAGAGCACCTACCGATCGTTTCGATACAAATTAATTCATTCAACGTCCTGGGCTTAAAGAACGAAGATATTCATCCAAAATGTGTTTCTTGTTCACTGGCCTACTATACTTGAAATGAACAAAATTTTGTACAATTTCACCGCTTGAGTTATTATATTGAAACGACCGGTTTCCATCTGGACTAGTAACTAGATGGTCAAAGGTTCGACTTCCATTGGCGGTCACTAGGATTTTTCCTTCCGAGCCGCATGTGTCACGGACTGAAAAATCATTTCTCGTGTTTTGAAATGTTTTTCAAGCCAGCATTTCTAACTGTTTAGGAAAACAACAAATCTTCCATAATTTTGAAAGGAACAATTACCTGCAAAGTTCAAAGCTCCTAGTTTACTTCTCTCCAAGGGAGGTGCCCACAGACTCCAGAAGGCGTGGCCAGCTGGATATGACGAGCTCTGGAAGCGAACATTATTTATAAATTAACAGTGTATTGGTGAGGGTAATATCTAACTATTAAATGGTGTACAGCTAAAATGACAATCTTAACTTCCAACTTTGCGCTTTTATTTTACATGTGCAGTTTTCTCTCGTCTGCTGTCGACGTTATACCCTCCTCAAATATCACCTGTAATCTACCAACTAAGCTAAAACCGGGAAACATCCAAGGAGGTGTCATCACTCACGTACAGTGACAAATAGAAATAAAAACTGAATAACAAGTCAAAGAATTCTACAAGTTTGAAGATTATTTTACAGCTATCGCTATTGCAGCAGTAAAATGACTTCACGAAGTAAATACTAGGTACTAAGTTTTTATGAAGGACCGCACCAGCAGTGCTGACCTTTTTATCGTGCTAAAATAAAGTTATTATCTTATCTTATCTTACCTCAGCCAGCCCCACTGCTACCCTCAGTGCAATCAAAAGTCCCACATGTATCCGGGCAGCTAGAGGAGTAAATAGGGTGAAGGCGCCTGTGCCACCCACAGACAACCCAATCATCGTGGCGCCACCACATTTTCGCGCCAAATATCCACCTGGTATATTCATTAACATGTAGCCAACGTAGAAGGAGCTCAGTACGATACCTAGGAAATATAACAAATGAAAATGTCTGAAAGCAGGAGCCGATTCCTGTTAAAACCTATCAGGGTCTCGAGGGGTATTCGCAGGATCCGCGATTTGACCAAAATGATGACCGAACAGATACAAATTTTATAGCGCTGCTTAGAATACAGTTCTTGAGATTTAAAAGTACTCTGGATAGCCTAAAAAGTGTTTTCAATGTATGTAGAAGGAGACCAGTTGTTCGATGCCCCTGACAGAGATATATGTTACGCCAATTACCTTGTAGCTGGGTGCTCCATGAAAATTCAGCAGTTTCCTAGTGTAAAAGAAAAGGACCGTGAGCAAGCCCTTATTGGTAATGAAGAAAGGCTTTTGCACTGAACAATAAAGATATGAAATCGATGCCAAAGCTACGAATAATTTATTAGCATACTGCTCTGCAAAAGCAGACCTATTACCGATTATCACGTTTACCGGAAAATACGTCTCGCAGGCAAGCTTTCCGCATTTTCTGATTTAAATTGGAAGATTTCACTATTTACAAGTTTACTTTTTCTATGACACAGGTGAGATATAATTCAATGGGAAAGTTAATTAGCCTTTATTAATTCCTTGAAGCCCTAAATTTATGGTGTAAAGTTCTTCCCAAAAACCAAACCAAACCCAATACAGCGAAACTAGTTAATTTATTTTAACGGGTTTCTTCATCAGGTATGTAGTATTGGGAGTTCTTGTGGGTTGTATTTTATTATCACATGGCTTCGCGTAAAATGGTCCTCTTTAGCAGAGCAAGCATGAGCATCAAGAAGCTTATGCGCATGAGCTAGTTGGTAGTGAGGATGGTCTCAAGGATGGCCTTAACATAACCATACGTATGACCAATTCCCTGGCGGGTTACTCTTATACGGGGTCCGCCCCGAGGTCCAACCCGTTACCCTTTTAAAAACCATTTTTGACGGAAATTCAAAAGGTACCCGCTTGGTACCCTTTTCACACACCTTGTTTAGAACTTTGCATCCCAATTAACTGCTGTAAATGCACTGTCGTTTAAATAGGAATCAATAACAAAATCAGAACGTTTTCTCGACTTTTTCACAGCCGTAAAATGAATCTGTTAGCCCTTTTGAGCCTTTTTACAGACCTAAATGACAGATTTCCCGCTACCCTTTCATCATGTACACTTCAACCAGTAAAACCCCTACCTTTTGTATTCTGGGGGAGCCTTTCTGTACAGACCTTTGCAGGAATAACCCCCCCGGACTAGTTTTCACAAACTAGTTAATTTTCAGATCGATTTTCCCAAGATTTTTGACTATCAAATAAGTCTTCCAATCAGGCTGCAAAAACTGGAGACTAGAAAATAGTGTATTTCTGGTGTTTTGATGGCATCTACTTTTTCTTTCTTGTCATTGCGCACAATAAGATACTCGGAAGGAGCTTCCATGCCACTTTTGCGAGAAAAAGTACTCCAAAATAATCCTAGATTTATTTGATCTGTAAAAGCACGCTCCGAGTTATGCGCTCCTGCTTTGTTTGCGCTTGTGCTTGTTTCGCTAGTGAGGACCAGACTTAAAATGCTGGCTATTGGGGTTTCAGCTTGGATTGACTTAAGTTTCAACCAGTTCTGATTTATGTTTAAAATTAAGGGGATGCTCTTAAGTTTTCGTTATGATAAGTTCGGGATATTTTGAGGGATATTTTATGGGGTGTAATGCTAGGTATCGCAAAGATTCAGCTATTACATAATAGTTGTATAGGTTTAGATTGTAACTTTCACGTTTAGAATAGTGATCAACATAAACTTTCTTCTGTCATGAATTCCTTGTAAAACCGTTCTACCTTTATAGGCCCTTACACGGCTTTCTTCCACTTTTCAAATAGACAAGTTAGGGAAAACCCGTCGACTCCTCTGGAAAGAACGCCTTTAAAGTAGTAGGAGTGCCAAGTTTGAAAGTACGTCTTAGTGAACAAAGATAAAGCTCCCGAAAGTCGCGAAATTTTACAGACGTTTGATTCTTGCCCTCCAAACGACTGTAAATTTTCACAAGTTTGCGTAGCTATACTTCCCTTACTTAAGACGTATCACTTTCAAACTTAGTACCGTGAAATTCCGAAAATAATCCCCGGGGCTTATATTTTTCAAAGGCCCTTTTTGAGGGGCTTATTTTAAGAGGGGCTTATATTCGGAGGGGCTTATCTACGGAGGGAAATTTGCGTTTCAAAATCGATTGTGCTAGCTTTATATTTGGAATAAATTTACCGTTTTTGCTTTGTTTTCCTTTGTATTTGAGAGCAATTTTCCAAGTACTAGCCCTCAGGGCCTTATATTTGGAGGGGCGATTTAACGGAGGGTTTTTTGCGTTACCGGCTTGGGGGGCTTATATTTGGAGGGGCTTATACATGGAGGGGATTATTTTCGGAATTTTACGGAAATTTTGCTAATTTCATTAAATACGCTCTTTCCAGTGGTGCCGACGGATTTTTCCTCACTGGTCCATGTCAATGAGTTGAAAAACCGTGGAAAGGTCTACAGTATACGCTTCCACGGCAACCCTCCTTATTGTAAAGCATGTTCAATTTAGGTTTTCAACAAAAGCTTGTTAACATTCAAGTCTCAAAAACCTTTGTCTGGATTTCCAGTTGACTACTTTTACCCTTAGTTTTTGCTAATTTTTAGCTTGTTTTCGATCGCACTACGATCAAGTTGATGCAGTTGGTGGTTTTTACTCCCAATTAAAGTTTTAATATAATAATTGATGGTACGGATTGCAGGAATATCTCCCTATTCTCAGTCTGCCGTTAAAGTAAATATCTGTTTCTTTAATTCAGTTTTGCTCTCTACCATACTCTGCACTTTAAATTTGTCCTCTAAGTTTTCCGTCACGTTTTAATCAGTTTAATTTCCTCAAGCAAAAAATTTGAGTAATCATTTTCGAGGGAGAAGCTTGACACCTTCTGTAGATCGGCGACTTCTGCATGGAAATTAATTTCAAATTAGTTTCAAATATTTAGAAGCCAAACCTTTGTAATTTTTACATTGCTCTCTCTCAAGCTTAAATGTGAAATCTAACTACAAAAATCCGTTTTCACAAAGTCAAGAACTCAAAGGTTTAATGCTAATGAGTCTCTTCTAGCAGTCACAGAAGAATTACGTAATCATTGTTTTTTTGCTGGCGATTATGAAAAGGAGGTGAATTGTAGCCAGCAAGTAGTGATGTTCGTAACGATAAAAAAAAGGTGACAAATTAAAGGTGTCACATCTTTTTTTTGAAGAATTACTTGCTAGTTCACATACAAATCGATACAAAGTTCTTTCAGTACAAGGATATACTCCCCAAGAAACACATAACAATAACACAATACCTGTATTTCCCTGTTGTCTTTAAAGACGGTGTGATTTTCAACCATCACCACAATAGCCACGCTGAGGTTGACGCGCAGAGCGTAAACATTTGCATATCCAAACATTAAGAAGACACCAACCATGTAACGCACTGGAATAAAACACCCAGTACTCCATGGACTTGGACTCTTCGATGTTTTGACTTTTCTGTGACTTTCCGTCAGCCGGCTGTTTTTAAGTTCCATTTTTCTGGAAAAATCCTTTTGATCAGCTGTACTTTGTGTTCATCAACATCTCGGTTCTATATAAAACAAATAACTTTATGTCTTGTACTTTCTCTTTCTATCATAACTGCGGCGCGGTCGTCGCTTCTCTCCCTCCGAAAGGAGAGAAGCGACGACCGGAAATATGTCTGCGGTTTGCAGGCTACCATAAAGGAACCTAGTCTGTGCAAAGTTCCATCTCTTTTTGTACAAGCCAAGAGCGAAGCTTTTATCGATTCAGGAAAATGTTATTCCTTTTAGTAACTGAGTTCTTCTGATTCCTGATATAACGGTTCATCAACAAGACGTCGTCTATTTGGAGATATGATATGAAACGTATGTATGTACATGAACAATATCAGGCTCTTTGTGCGTTATGGGTTGTGTTAGAATTAATGACTAATTTCATATCAGCCGAATAATAATAATAATAATAATTTACGATTATATAGCGCAAACCTCTATATGAATAGAAAGTACACCATTTGTCGCTTTTCGTTACCAGGAAATAAATTTTGTTTTGCGTCAAAAAATGAGTCAGTAATGTAAATATGTAATTATTACAGAAAATAAACTCCAATCGGTAGAACCCCGATAACTCGAACCCGGATACCGTGAACTTCCCGCGAACTCAACCCTTGATTTCACCCCAAATTTCAGTCAGTTTTACTTGGTTAACTCGAACTCGTATAACTAAAATTCCTCGCTAACTGGAACAAAATTTCCTTTCTCTTGATCAAAATTTCACAGAAATTTAATTTAATAACTCGAATTCTGGCTCTTGAAACTCCACTCGGATGTTATTCCATTAACTCGACTTCTTGTTGTATAATCGGTAAAAGCGCTAAAACTAACAATAGACCAGGCACTGATTTCCATTGGTACAACGAGCAGATTGCGTTTTATCATTAAAAATGAATAAAATAAGTTAAGTCTGCACTGTACTATGCACTGAAGTGCTGAAAAATCAGTTAACTATCAGTTATGGCAAAATAAATATTTAATCTATCGCAAGAATTCGGACTGTATTTTGTTTCCCTTCGGATCGAGCCAGTTACCGGTGGTTCTACTGTAACATTCTAAGTTTCATACTAACAATACATTGGAACCCCGCCTTACGGCGACCTCGGTAATACGGTCACCTTGTTATTACGGCCACATTTTTCGGCCCGGCAAAACGGCCATACATTTCCTTATAAAAAAACACCTCCGTTAACACGGCCAACGGCCACATTTTAAAGTCCCAAACAGTAGAATCTCTTATGATTTCACTTCATTAATACGGCCATTTGTTCGAAATTTAGAAAATTAAAATGCCTGTGCCAGTTTTGACCCGTTGGTGACCGTATTAACGGGGTTCCATTGTAATTTCGAGGTACTTGAACAATCAAAAACTAGAGATATATTAATGTCCCGACTTTTCGTCGACCTCGTGATGCCATTATTAACGAATGAGTGAATGAAAGCGATTTCAAAAAGAGTTTTACATGTTTTAAAAGACCTGTAAATTTACATAAAGGAAAAAGACTTTAGCAGGCGAATTGAGTCTGTTGGTTCGTTCAAACCGTGGCCTTAATTTTATTTTATGTACCGTATTTTGTTACCTTAACTGTCAAATTTGTTCCTCCATCTTGTCAGCAATTTCAGCAACTCTTAAACCAACAGAAAATGAATGAATGTGTAATCAACAACTGAATCAATCGTTCAAGAAAAGTAAACCAACATTCTAGTCTTCGAGTGGTTAATTCAGTAACCTACCTGATAGTAAACAACTCGTTTTGATACCGGATCAGACTTAGCTAATGTCTAACCAGGAACTCGGCTAAATTATAAGAGTTTCGCAAGATTGTAGGCCAGTGTACAGACACGATAAGGGATTATTAACACATTCACGTTGAAGCTTATAAACCGCCGTACAGCAGGATCAAATTAGCAACAGAACATAACGAATGAAGAGTAAAATCCCCTGTAAAATGATGAGACGCTACTTTTTTGTTAATCCTGTGAGATTTAAATTCTCTCCAACACAATAGCACTATATATTTTCTGCAGCCATTGTTGCGTGTATCTAAATATGATTTGCATGCATAATAAAGTACATTCAAATGACTTTGAATACAGCCAACCCTAGTAGACCTTTTTACGGATACGGCAGCCATATTGAATTAATTCGATTTAAGGAGTATTATAGGATGCTGAGGGGGCATGAGCACATTTCGTTTGTATTTTCGAGCACTTTTCGGGACACTTTTTCTTAAAGTTTTTTTAGAATAAGATTGTAATGGGAAAAAAGATCCTTGTAGCGTATTTGGATGTAATGATGACCGCCTTTTTCTAGTTTAGTATTAGAAATATGGTCTTTCACTGTATATTTCTGGGAAAAAAGGCGATCATTATTACATCCAAACACGGCACAAATATCTTTTTTCCCATTACAATCTTATTCGAGGAAAACTTTAAGAAAAAATGTCCAGAAAAACGCTCGAAAATACAAACGAAATGTGCTCATGCCCCCTAGGCATCCTATAATACTCCTTAAATCGAATTAATTCAATACGGCCGCCGTATCGGTAAAAAGGTCTATTCTCAAGGGACACTGCCAAGGTCCCTATACCTTTCTTTACTCATTATAGGGTGCGTTCGGCGTATTCAGGAAAAAGAATACGCAAAAGTTTGGAGGCAAATCTCTTGTACCGTAATTTTTCGGCCACTTGAACACTTCATTCATCGGATATTTTATTTCAAGCAGATTTCTAGCTGTTGCAAAGCAATGAACGCCAAAATGAGCGATTTTTTTAGTTTAACCACGGCGGTGTTAGCTTAGTCGGAAGAGCGTGCCGGGAATGCAGAGCGGAAGGTCGCGGGTTCGATTCCCGGGACCAGACCTATACTCACTTAAAATAACTGAGAAATAAAGGTACTACCTTTGCACTACTGCAAGCGGCTGGACCTTCGCGTGGCTCGCGGACCACGTAAAATGGCGGCCTCATCTACAGTAGTAGACGTAAAAATTGTGTCCCCAATTAGTATTTTCGTGCTAAATACATTGACACTCAGATAAAGTGCATTTTTTTTATTCCATGTATTCTTATTCCGGAATACATTCAATCGAACGTTCCTTTGTGGACTCTCTATAAGACCGGGACACAAACGGACGTAACATTGTTGGATGATACATGTTGCTTGTTGTTGGGAGTTGTTGCGCAAAGTTTGAAACCAGTCAAACTTTTAGCTACGTACAAACGTAACAAATGGACGCAACAAATGGCTGCAACAATGTTCCAACAATTTTGGGAGTTGTTGCATCCGTTTGCACGTATGGTCCGAAGTCATGGGCGGATCCAGGAATTTTTTATTGGGGGGTGGGGGACCAAACTCTAATTCAGAAAGGACTGTTGACCTTTTTTTTATGGCAAATTACCTCTCACAGAGACGACGACGTGTTTCTGTGAACGCCGGTCGCCGTTGGCGTGGGAAGTGCTGCTTTGCGAGCAGAGACGAACAGCTCATAGGAGGGTACACTGTAAATTAAAAAGATCTGTTTCAGCCCCAAAGTGTCAATTCAGCCCTGCGGGCCAAAGTCTGGTTCAGCTCTTCCTGGAGCCATTTGAGCACAATTTAGGCCAAAAAAGCTCTATCAAAAGGCTATTCCAGCCCACAGTAGGGCCCATTTCAGCCCTGGAACCAAATTAGCCCTAGCTAATTGGACTGTATTGGCCCTAATTTAGACCCAAAAATAGGACTGTATTTTACTCACCGAAACGGCCCTGTTTTTAGGGCTAAAAAGAGATCTTTCTGATTTAGAGTGTACCCAAAAATAATTACATTTTTGAATCTCCCTGGAATTTAGTTTAGTGGCAAAATGCAACGCGCGTTTCATTCACTCTCAAACAAGCGTCAGATCGGATGGGGGGGGGCTCCGAACCCCCCGGACCCTCCCCCTGGATCCGCCACTGGAAGTCAGTCCGTCTTTATCGAGAGAGCTGTCTATGGTACCAGTCAGGGGCTATGTGACAGGAAAATCGGTTCCGTGAGCATTTTGATTCGGGACTTGTTAAATTACATAAAATACATTTCAAAATGTAGTTTAAAACACATTGTGACTGATGCAAGGACTAAACGAATAGAACAATTATTATGAAGAGAAAACCAGATGGTCGCAGTAGAATGAACAACCTAAACGGATGAAAAAGAACCTGAAAAATATTCAGGATTGACCAGGAATCGAGCCCTGACCTTCGCGATGACCGGACGCAACGCTCTCTCAGTCCATTGAGCTAATCAAGCCAATTGGAGAGCTGGCTATTGTAGACGATTATCGCGAAAAATCGCGGCTTTAATTCAGAATTACTTGCTTATTTACTTTTTTAATCAGAGCAGGGCATTTTTAGATTTTGAGAGTTTTTAGTGCTTTTTTTAACGTGTTTTAAAGCCGATTCTTTTACTCCAGATAGTACACTTTCACCCCTTTAAAATGACCTTTCTGCCCCGTCTTGCCGACTTTGAAAGTGGAAATAAAACCAGAAGGATTTCTCAACTTTTAATGGTTAATAAACCATTATTATTATTATTATTATTATTATTATTATTATTATTATTGTCTCTATTATCACAGTCTTTGCTGGTGTTCTTTTTGCGCATCAGCCGGGCGCAAACCATGTACCTAGAGCGTCAGTCACTCAAGTCAATCATTCTGTTCATACACTGAGCACCTTTCTAAGGATTCGTGCAGACCCCAGTATGCAGATCTTTTGAATCTCTGTCATACTAGCTCTCTCTGATACTGTCTTGATGTTTTCTACCATACCCTTCTTCACTGTACCAAGCGCACCAACAACCACAGGGATCACTACGGTTTTCATATGCCACATTCTCTGTAT